AGTTCTGGCAACAGTGTGGATACTGACAAAGTGGCTTCAGTGTTTTACACTGTAGTGATTCCCATGCTGAACCCCCTGATCTACAGCTTGAGGAACAAGGATGTGAAAGAAGCTCTCAGGAAAGTGGTGAGCTCCAAAATATTTTCCTGGAGAATATTTTCTTAGTAGGACCGAGGGTCCCATAATGGAGGCTGATGTAGGGTGACTTGGTTAGCTGCTGTGTTATAGAGTGGAGGGAACAGCCAGGAGGCAGGTCTTTATGAGTGAGGTTTTCACATTCAATTTTCTTTGTCTCCGCAATTGACCTGGGTCTGTTTGAACACATTTCAAAATTTGCAACTTTGGTCTTTGCTTTTATTCAATCTAAAAAAAGATGGATCTCTTACCCTTTGAGCCAGCCTGGAGGGACCTGGAGAGTATTGTGCTGGAACAGACTGTGGAATCTCAGAGGGAAGGTGGGGGAGGGTGGACAGGAAGAGATCAACCAAAGAAATTGTATGCATATATAAATAACCCAGGGAAACAGACAATAGAGTGGTAAAGACCTGGGGTGGGGGGCTGGAAATGGCTAGAAAAGATCAAGGGGGAAAAAAGGTACATATATAATACTTTCAACAATAAAGTTTTAAAAAAATAAAATGTTTTGGGTATTGGACTGTTAAGACCCACACATTTTGTTTGCTCTAAAACCTTCATAAGATTAATGGAAAACTCTTGAGAAACAACAGAGTTGCTGACCTATTATGGAAAGTATGATTCATTTCAAAATGGAATTCCTCCTATTTTACAATGAAGAATCACCTTTGCCAGTTTATGCACAGAGTGAGACTCCCATAGGTGGGCATATTCTGTTTGCTGTTCACTGCTTGCTTCCTTTATTATATTTTTGTTGTCATTGCAGTGTGTAATGTCTTTGGAACTTTAGAGATTATTATTTAAAAAATAGAGACACTAATAATAATTATTTCTCAGGAATGTTGGGGGAAATTAAGTTACATGTCATGTGTAAAGCACTTAGAACAATTTATGGCATTTAATTAGTTCCCTGTTTCTGTTTTTGTTCCTCTGTCTATCATGATCTATTGTGTGAGGAACAAGGATATGAAAGAAGCTCTCAGAAAAGTGGTGAGCTCCAAAATATTTTCCTGGAGAATATTTCCTTAGTAGGACCCAGGGTCCCATAATGGAGGCAGGTGTAGGGATGAATTGGTTGGCTGTGGTTTTGTAGAGTGGAGGGAACAGCCAGGGGGCAGGTCTTTATGCTTGAGTCTTTTTCATTCAATTTTCTTTGTGCCTCCAAAATTGACCCGGGTTTCCTTGAACACATTTCAAAATTTACAGTTCCCATGTTTGCTTTCATTTAATCTAAATGTTTTAAATGGTTTTGCTACTGGACTAATAACACACACACACACACACACACACACACACACACACACACACACACACACACATTTAGTTTGCCATAAAACCTTCCTAAGATGAATGAAGCACACTTGAGAATCACAGTTTCTGATCTATTATGAAAACTATGATTCATTTCAAAATTGAATTCCTCTTATTTTACAATATAGAACTACTTTTGCCAGTTATGCACAAAATGAGATTCTCATATGTGTATATGTTCTGTTTTGCTGTTCATTTCTTGTTTTATTATGTTTTTGTTGTTGTCATTGCAGTGTCTAAATTTTTTGGAACTTCAGAGACTCATCTCAAAAAAACTGGAGACATTAATAATAATTATTTATCATAAATGTTGGGGAAATTAAGCGACATGTCATGTGTAAAGCACTTAGAACAATTTATGGCATGTAATTAGTTCTCTGTTTCTGTCTCTGCTGCTCTCTCTCTGTCTCAGTGTGCATGTGTGCACATATATGTATATAAAATGTACACATACATTTCATAACCATTGTTATGAGTAGCATCATTTTGGACTATGGCCTTTTAATTCACATTATCTCTTACTTATCATCATGCTTATTTTATAAATTGTGGATTAAAGTCTTACTGTTACTAGTAGGTGGATTTCAGCCTTTGTTTTGTTCTTTGTTGTATATTTGCTTGTGATGAAATGACCTTTTTTCAAAAGACCAGAATTATGTTAGAAATAATAATTTAAACTGTTCATTTTGAAGCCTCAAGGGAATAAGGAAGCTATTTTTTCTAAGAGCCTGGTTACATAGAGAGTGGACATAGTTATCAGAGTCTTAGATCTCCCCCAAACCCTTCTCCAGAGGCCCAAGGGGGGCAGTCTTTTCTACTAGCAGGTTTGTTTGCAGGTCTGAGAAAATATGGATATTCCTTTTCATGAAAGGTATCTAGAAAATGTTGTAGCCATTTTTCATGGGAAAATCATTTTGACAGAATTTTTAGCCACTGAATACATTAAGTATCTGGAACAGAAAGTGTACATTTTCTACAGAGCTTTGCCCAAAGGGTTTGGCTTAGCTAAGGACCTGCATAGTCATGTCCCAACAACTGTTTCCTGGGAATGGGAGAAAGAAGGACCTGAGACTTTTTTAGGTATATGTCTCTCTGCTTCTTTGAATTTTTGGAAGAGTTGTACAAAAGAGAATAGGCAAGTATTTAAATAAAATTGAGTTGAAAGGAATAAAATGAGCCCCTGGAGAAATCTAATAAACAGGACCAGCTCTAAATATGATTTTAGAGCATGGAATATTATTTTGGCTCCCAAGAGCAAAAAGAAAAAATACAAAGAAATTATAAGGAAGAAATTTTAGATACCACATTTCCCAGATTCAAAGATAGTACAGATATTTTTAAATGTTTTTATTGATTTTAGAGAGAGAGGAAGGGAGAAGGATAGAAAGAGATAGAAACATCAATGATGAGAATCATTGATCAGCGACCTCCTGCACGTCCCATGCTGGGGATCAATCTGCAACCTGATCATGTGCCCTGAACAGGAATTGAACTGTGACCTCCTGGAGCACAGGTCGACTCCACCACTGAGCCACACTGGCTGGGCAATAACACAGATTTTGAAATCCATATAATAACATTATTTGAGAGATAAGCAGCCATGATATTTAATTTGCACACCAGTTTTAAGTCAAAAGAAACATGAAAATCTACCAGAAGCAAGGAAATAAGGCAGCAGTTCTCAACTACTGGCTATTACGCACACTCCAACCACTGCCCCAAGAGTCAATTGACAATATTTGGGGACATTTCTGATGGTCATAGTGGAAGGACAAGGGGTGAGGGTGGCACTGTCATCTGGTGACTAGAGGTCAAAGATGCTGCTATACATAGTTATTTGCACAGGGTAGTTCCCCATAACAAGGAGTAATCCAGCAGAAAATATCAATGAAGATGTGGTTGAGAAATTTTGAAAAAGGACACTAAGAAAGAATTTTACAATAATAAGAATTGACTGAAAAAGATGACCTCTGATTGATTCAGAAATCCTTAGATATTTGAACAAATTGGGCTATCAAGATTTCTCAGTGTTATATGGGACCCTTTGGTGTTGGAACTCCTAGAACCACCTGGTTTGAGGTTGCAGAACCAGAGATGACCTTAGCAGAAATGTTAGTCTGAGAAAGAAGACTGCATTATAAGGGAATATGATGGAGGGAATTCCTGGTTTGTGTGACCTATCGTACTAAAATGAGGACAGTTCTAGGTGAACTGGGATGTGTTGGTGACCATAACATTCTGAGTGCTAGATATTGGTTGCCAGATTTAGCAAACAAAAAATGCAGATTACTACAGTTAATTTGAACTCCAGATAAACAAGGAGTATATGTTTAGCATGGTCATGCCCATACAATATTTTGAACACACTTATTGCAAAATTTCACTGTCTCTCTGGGATTAAATTTTAACTTGGATCCTACCTGGACAACAGTTTGAGAAATCACACCATTCTCTCTCTCTTAAGAACTCCCTTATCATAAACATCTTCAACGCATTTACTGGATCAGTTTATGTAGTTTCATTGCATGAAGTTTGTCTTTAGAATGGTAAAAAGAATAAATAAGGAAGTGTGAGAAGATGATCATTTCAAAATAAAAATGCTGATGTGACAATTCAGTGTGGGTCAGAGTCTAGCTTAGAGAGATGGGTACATGCTAGGAATTCAGAATTCTGGGATATTGTTGTAAGTTGATTATCTGATATTTTTATGTCATTAGACAAGTCATGACTTCTTCAGGTTTCTGTGTGCTCACCTGTAGAGAAAGGCAGTTCAGTAGATATTTTGTACCAAAAATAAATTATTACTTACTTTGATATTGGCTCTATTTAGTCAAAAAGAGGAATGACGACCTGGTATTTAAAATATGATATAAGTATACAGACTATTCTTTCTTTGTGTCACAACATACGCACATATTTTTATACAGAAATTAGCTCTAATTATAGAAGTTATTTCATTAGTAATTATAGAACCAATAAAACATTATTTTATTTTCCTAGACTTTTTCTTGCAGAATTCATAAATTCAGTGAGATTAGAATGTCTTACGTAAAGATTTGATTATATGTACTGTCTAAACCACTCAAATTTATAACTATTACACGTGTAAGTCTTTAAAATTACATTTCAGAATAAGAACAGAATTAAGTTTTATAATTTTTGAAAAGGTAATATTAACTAGTAATTATTGTATGAAAGTTTAGATGTTCCTGTCTTGGATACTTAACACTGACCAGGATTTAACACAGAGTATTTTGTTCCATCTTATACTCTACACAGGAGAGAATGAAGCATGCTTCATGTGTCAGGCATTCACCATAATATATTATTTCCAAGATGAATTTTCAGATCTTACCATTAAGAAACATGTTTCTGGTAGGGAGCAACATAGCTGCTGGCACCATGTTCACCCTATTTGGCTTCTCAGATTACCCAGAAATGAAGTTCCCCTCTTCCTGGTATTTCTGGCTATCTACAGCTTCAGTGTAGTAGGAAATGTTGGAATGATTATGATAATTAAAATTAACCCCAAACTACATACTCCTATATACTTTATTCCAGCCACCTCTCGTTTTTGGATTTCTGCTATCCTTCTGTCATTGCTCCCAAGACCCTGGTGAACCTACTTGCAAAAGACAGAACCATTTAATTTTCAGGATATATGGTGCAATTCTTTTTCTTTTGCACCTTTGTAGTGACTGAATTAATTCTATTTGCTG